TACACGTGTGCATGTGTGAGAGAGAAGGCAAGGGAGGGAGGATGGGTTGGAACAATCCTCACTGCACACGAGCGACAACACGATGTCATGCGTGTCATGTGTCCTTGAGCATCTGCCCTGTGTGTACCAACTTCATTGCATGTATGTGGGGCCAGGGTTTGAACACACCTCATTATGTGTATGGACATCATGTCTGCATGTGTGTCTGTGTGCCCTTGTGGCTACATAGCTGGGGTAAGAAAGGTCAGGCAGGCAACACCACCTGGCCCACTCCCCTTCTTGACTTCTCCAGTCATGGCCCCTTTCTGGCAGCTGCCTTGTTTGCAGACACTCTGTCTTCCTCTCAGAGGACTCCTTGGCTGTGGGCCCAGAGCTCAGCTACTGCTCAGGGCTGGATCATGTGTCACGCGCCTTGCGGCCCCCACACCCCCCCCCAGGGCTCCTGCTGTGGTTCCTGAGGTGTCACCTGGGGGGGGCATGGTGGCAATGTGTGTGCCTGTAGGGAGTCCCTCAAGGACCCTTGGGATCTAGGTTCTAACCAGAGAGTTGAGGACATGAACACTATCCTGGGCCTCCTAGAACAGAGGGGTCACAGGAAGGAATAGGATGGAGGCCAGTGGAGGAAGCACATGTCAAAACCTCCCGCCGCCTCGCCTCGTGAATCTGAAAAAGCCCAAGTAGTCAGGCCAAGAATGTTTCCCCACGTGTCCCCATGAGCTGGAGGTGGCTGGGATATGGTGCACCCAGTGGGGGTGGAGACCCAGCGGGCTGGGGGCAGCAGAGGTGTTGATGGGTGACAGCAGCTGAGGATTAACTGAAAGGTGATAATGACCCAGCAGGGTGGGGCCTAGGGGAGGACAGAAGATGCCCAGAAAGAGCTGGGCCCTGGGGGGGGGGGCGGGATGCCGGGGGATAGCACTAATTAAGCACTACTCACACTAAAGGCAATGCCGGATGCTGACCCAGCAGCTTGCAGGCTGTGGCTGCTCATGACTGTCCCCAGAGGATGCTGAGGGATCCCCGGGACTCTCCCCACTGCTCACTCAGTGGGGTCAAGGGCCAGGCCATGATGTGGCTGGCATCCTGCTGGGGTAGGTGGGAGAGGGGGCTTGGGGTAAGAGCAAGTGTGCATGAGTGTGCAAGCAGGAGAGTGAATGTGTGAGTGTGAGGGTGAGATTGTGAGATTAGCATATGTGAGAGTGAGACTATGAGAGTGTATCATGTGAGGATAAGTGTGAAGACGTGAGGGTGCACAATTGAGTGTGAGAGTGTGGATGTGCATGTAGATACAAGCTGGCATGAGTGAATGTGAGTGGAGGAGGGGAATGTGATTATGTCTCTGTGTCGTCAGTTTGAGGGAGTGTGTCTGAGTGTGTGGTATTTGTGAGCTTGTGCAAAAGCTGTGTGAGTGTGTGTCTGTGTGGTAATGAGGTAGTCACCCCCTCCTGGAGGAGAGAGTGAGGATGACTGAATGGTGAATGCAGAAAAGTGAGGCAGTGGCAGCCTTCAAAGCCACCAAGAAGGCAATAACCGAGGGGGCAGGGAAGCTGGAACTCCCATGTACCACTTGGAGGATGCCCCTGCAGTTCCTTAACTACACCAAGTAACCACACAACCCAGAGTTCTGCTCCCAGGTATAGGCTCAAGAAGAACAAAAACAAAGATCCACACAAAAAGTTGCACACGATGGTCCCCAGCAACATTGTTCATGATGACCAGAGAGTAGAGACAACTCTCCTACTCACCCACTCACATGCACATGCAGAGCTAAATGTGGTATGTCCATACAATGGGCTAGTGTTTGGCAATGAAAAAGAACAAAGCAGACTCAGTGCCTGTAGCTCAGCAGCTAAGGCACCAGCCACATGCACTGGAGCTGGTGAGTTCGAGCCCAGCTCAGGCCTGCCAAACAACAATGACAACTACAACCAAAAAATAGGTGGGTGTTGTATAGGTGGCAGGTGCCTGTAGTCCCAGCTACTTGGGAGGATGAGGCAAGAGAATCACTTAAGCCCAAGAGTTTGAGGTAGCTGTCAGCTATGACACCACAGCACTCTGTCGAGGGTGACATAGTGAGACTCTGTCTCAAAAAAGAACAAAGCAATATATATATCAAAACATAGAGGGACCTTGAAATCATTATGCTTGGTGAAAGATGCTGGTCACCAGGAATTACCAGCTGCAGGACTGTCCACACAGATCCACTTTTGCCAGGGGGACATGGGGAGTGACTGTTAGTGGGTACAGGTTTTCTTTTGGGAGAGTGATGGTAAAAAATCTGAAGTTAGATTGCAGTGAATGTCACATGGTTCCATGAATCCACTAAACACCATTGCATGGTGCACTTGGAACAGGTGGATTTTATGGTATGTAAACTGCATCTTAATGAAGCAGTTGGCAGCTAAGCATTTCCAACATCCTTCTTCTCTAACCTTGATCAAGTTCCTTATCACAGGAAAAGGTAGAGAAGGAAAGGAAAGGACCTTCACCTTCCTTCTGATGGCTCTGGATTCAGGACCCATTCATAATGAACTAAGCTCCTAAATATAGAAACTCAAAATTCTTCCCCGTTTTACAGAAGAAACCATGGATGGAGACTCGGACAGGAAACCTGCTTTCTATTTTTTTCTTTTGAGACAGAGTCTCACTCTGTCCCCCTAGGTAGAGTACCATGGCATCATCATAGCTCACAGCAACCCCAAACTCCTGGGCTCAAGCAATCCTCTTGCCTCACCCTCCCAAGTAGCTGAGACTACAGCCACCCACCACCACACCTGGCTAGTTTTTCTATTTTTAGTAGAGATGGGTCTCACTCTTGCTCAGGCTGGTCTCAAACTCCTGCGCTCCGGCAATCCACCCACCTCAGCCTCCCAGAGTGCTAGGATTATAGGTGTGAGCGACCTCACTCAGCCAAAAACCTACTTTCTAAAAGTCAAAAAGCCAAAAGATGGAAGAGGCTGTTATTGAACTATCTCTGAGCAGGTGCCCATGTATTTGCCCTTAGCTCCCAACTCATCATCTGGAAAGTCTACTAAGCCCAATGATCACCAAGGAAGTTCTGGGTTCCCCCAGCTGAGGAACCCCAAGCTTGTAAATAGGACTGTGCAGAAAATTTGTGAGTGTCCAGTGCAAAATGTAAATGTAGGGTCTCTTGTTCCAAAAACTTTAAAAAGGACAAAACACTTCTGACTTCCCTGTCTCTGTCTCTTCCTGCCTATACTCCACTTCCACCAGAGCCCATCCTGGGAAAACAGGACTATACATGAGCAAAGCTCCAAGCTCCCCATGGAGCCAAAGCTCCATGTTCCCTTGGCCCATCGGACTTCACTTACAAAATGCAAAATAAAAAATTATGAAAAAACATCAAGATGGCTACAGCACAGCATTACATCTGTACAGGAGCACTCCACCCCTGCCCTGCCCTGCTGTGCTGGTAGAAAAGAGTTTGCCCAAAATCCAGAAGGGGGACGGGACTTGAAGATCTCTGAAAACTGTATCCTTGACAA